TATTCGTCATCGCTGCCTACGCGCCCACAAACTGTAACGATGATTCGGTAAAGAACGACTTCTACCGCCAACTGACTCAGATCCTTCGCCACAGAAGAAGCACGGACACTGTTGTGCTGGCGGGGGATATAAACGTACAAGTTGGAAAGTTGTCCACTGATGAAATGCATCTGGGCGGTCAGCACGGTGTAGGCTCCCGTAATGATAACGGTGAGCGGTTACTTCATTTGTGTGAAGATACTCGTTTATTTCTTGCAAGCACTAATTTCCGACACAGCGCCGGCCGGAGGGTGACTTGGCGCGCACCAGCCTCGAACCAGCTATGGACGCAGATCGATCACATTGCCATGAGTTACCGCTGGATAGGCTGCATCCAGAATTGTCGCTCGGTTTGAAGCACATGTGTGGACACCGATCATGCACTTGTATGTGCTGATCTGGGGATGCGCTTTGGCGGACGCCCACCACGACGCTGTGAGCGCATTGACACCGGCCAACTGACAAAGCCAGCTGTTCTGAATGCGTATCGAAGTGCGTTGACATGTGAGTTGAGCAGTCGCTCACTGAAGACAATTGATGATCACTGGTCACATGTTCGCCAGACCTTACTAGCAGCGGGCAAATCCTCATATGGTATGTCTAATCGCCAACATGAACATTGGGTCTCTTCGTAGTCTCTGGAACTTATCGATGCTCGCCGGCATATTTCGGCTGGAAGCGAACACAATGAAACTCGCAAAGAGCTCCAGGCAAAACGCCGTGCTAGCCTGAAAAGAGACCGCGAATCTTGGTGGTCTCATCGCGCATCAGAGATGGAAGTGGCCGCTGCCCTTGGAAACCATAGTAAGTTATTCCGTCTGATACGGGAAATCGGTAGCAGGAGACCTGGTGTTAGTGAAACAATTTGTCGAAACGTTTGGAGCGTTGGGCTGAGCATTTTGAAGAGCATTTTAATCGGCTTGAATTTTTCCATTCGCCGGTCACTGATCGTCTATCTTCGTGGGCTGTCCCTTTGGATCCACCCTCTTGCTCAGAAGTCGAACGTGAGATCGGACTGTTGAAGTTAAATAAAGCCGCGGGACCAGATGATCTTCCTCAAGCCCTCTTCAAATTCGGAGGCTCTGCTCTTGTTGATGCTTTACATGAAATACTAGTGAAACTGTGGGAGCAGGAGACTGTCCCAACCGACTGGAACCGCTCCGTTATTGTTCCCATCTTCAAAGGCGGCTCGCGCTTGGAATGCGGCAACCACAGAGGAATCAGTCTGATCTCCACTGGCTCCAAATTACTCACCTCCATAATTCTTCACAGACTGACTGACGCTCGTGAAAGCCAGATTCGTGAGGAGCAAGCCGGGTTTCGTCGGGATCGTGGCTGCATCGACCACATCTTCACCTTGTGTCAGTTGTTGGAGCACCGTCACACATATTGGCGGCCCACCGTAGTCGTGTTCCTCGACATCAAAGGTGCCTTCGATTCGGTTGATCGATGTGCCCATTGGAATTGTTTACTCAGGAAAGGTGTGCCCGAGAAACATATAAATATTATCCGAGCATTATATTTGCGTAGCACGGGCAGAATGAGGGCTTACAGCAGGCAGTCGCCACTCTTCAATATCTCCAGCGGTGTGAGACAAGGATGCCCGCAGTCATCTTTCCTCTTCAACTTCGCTATTGACGAAGCGATGGAGATTGCATTTATAGGACATGCCTTGGAAGATGTGGAGCTACTCCCAGGAGAACGACTTCTTGACTTGGAGTAGGCAGACGACATTACCCTCATCTGTGACGGCTCCCAAACGTGTCAAGCGGCGCTGGACAGATTAGCACTGGCTGTCAGCCGCTTCGGGCTTCGCTTTGCACCATCGAAGTGCAAAGCGTTCCTCCAAGATTGGCAGGGATCGCCTCCTGCGCTGACCGTTGGTGGGGATCAGCTAGAAGTCGTTCAGAAATTCAATTACCTGGGAAGTTGTATCAGCGCCCTTGGGATCGAAGACGAGGTCACGAACCGTATAGCGAAAGCTCGGGGTGCTTTCGCTAACTTTCGCCACTTATGGCGGCGGCGCGACATTACTCTCGCCTTGAAGGGTAGAGTGTACAATGCAGCGGTACGTTCGACCCTACTGTACGGTTGCGAAACCTGGCCCCTAAGATCGGTGGACATGAAGAGGCTAGTTGCGTTCGACCATCGGTGCCTTCGCAGTTTGGCTCACATCTGGTGAGAACTTCGTAACGAGCGTGTTCGACGCATTGTTTGCGGCCCAGGAATAGGATCTGAACCGCTCAGCACCGTTATTTCCCGCACCAGGCTCCGATGGTTCGGCCACGTGTTACGCATGTCAGCCCACCGACTCCCGCGACGTGCGTTGTTTGCTCACCGGGGATGTGGGTGGAAGAAGAGGAGAGGTGGCCAAGCGATGACTTGGTCCAGGGTAATGAAGTCCCTCGCTTCGAAGCTAGCCTCGGTTGGAGCGTCACGGCTCCCTGGTTGGGGTCCAAAAGACGGTGAACACATAAGGCTGGATACACTTGCTGACATGGCAAGGAGCCGACCTCAGTGGCGTTCCTACTGTGAGTTTCTTTGTCCCTCCCCATCCCTTTTAGCCTCCCCTTCCATCTACGATCTCATTTCCTAGGGTAAAACATAATAATAACAAAAGGAATTTTCTTTTTGCCTAGTAGCTGGCTGGTAGCTTACCGGAACGATGCGTATCCGTTGCTGGTAGCTCAGCTGGCATGCAACTGTTGTATCTATTTTTCCTTTGTGTATTGTATTATATGCATGTGTGCTCCATGCTGAGGCTAATCTTGCATTCATGTTGCTTCTACACCGCAGTTGGGCTAAAGCAACTTACACTTAGACTAGGTCTTTTTGCGTTGGCTAAATTTCATTCCACTTTATTTGGTTTGTTCTGCCTACCTGATTACTCTTCTATTAATTGGCTACGTTGCTTACGCTGATTACGCTTATCTTCGGTAACTTTGTTGCGTTTGTAGCATTTTTAAGTAACTTGTGGACATTTTTTACTTATCGCGGCTTCGTTGCTAACCAACTTACTTCATATGCTTATTTAGCTTAGAGTTATACCACCGTATCTGTATGCATTATTGGATTTGTTTTATTTCATCTCATCTTTCCAGGTGATTGGCTGTTTCTTGATATCCCCGGTGTGGCTGCGCTTGATGTGCATGTTGACAAGGTGCCTACCTGTCTATTAGCCACTACCTCGTCCATACTGGCTCCAGGAGACAGTTGGTCGTTGCTGGAGGGGACGGGGCGCACGGTCCTTGTGGCCGTGCTAGACTCGAAGAGTGGTTCCATGCAGTCAGTGTGGAGCGGACTACGGTCCAGCCACCGTTTTGTGTGCGCTTGATTCCCCAACTACAGCGTGCTTGTGTTTGACTGTGAGGGAGTGTGGGCCGGCTGGGTTGATGAAACGTGGCTCCTATCCACATACCTCCCGGTCTTATTCCTTCGGGTTTACACTGAATATGGGGTGTGTGGTTGGAGCTGTGGGTGGTGCGGCGCAAGCTGCTTATGGTCCCTCTGTAGGCGCAGGCGTCCTGTGGCTTGCCACAGTGACAGGCAAATCCGAAACCGGATGCCGCCATCCATGTATGTATGTATTTCCTTCATATATTGCGACACAATAGCGGAAGTGTTTTCCAACTTCTAGCTGACGTGTATAATGATGCTGATGATGCTAGATCTTTAACTGACCGATCTCATTAGAGTGCCTCCCGTACCAGTAGATGAGGCTTGAAACCCCCTAGCAAAATCTTTGTGTTCATTTTCTAGCTTTCGTCAACTACTGCGCCAGCGTGTTATCAGGCTCGCTGTGACATGTCGAGTCTAAAATGCTGTCATCTGTTCGATCCTACTGTACGATTGCAAAACCGTCTGATCAGGTCGATGGTTGTAAAGAAGCTAAAATTAATTTATGAAATGCCTTCAATAGAGCAATAAGAAGACGCATGTTGCCCGATGTTAATATTTCTGCTCTCTGTTCATTTGCATAGGAGGAACGTGTCAACTGATAACGTGCCAAAAGTTGATTACTTACTGCGTTGACGGTGCATCGGTACCGTACCGGCGCTTCGCTACCATGGAACCACTGCCAGTCGCGCGTGGACTAAGCATACTGTGAGGGTCGCCTTGTTCCCTACGCAAGCTCAAACCTGCGATCTTCGGGTTACAAAACAGGCATGTGATCCTTTCGGTCACGGACGGGCTTATGAAGAAGCCACTTGGGTTCGATCATCGGTGCTTTCGTAGTTTATCTCGCAGTTGTGGGAGCGTGAATAATGAGTGTTTACGCCCTCTTATTTATAGCACAGGATGGTGAACACTTGAGCACCGTTATTTCACGCAACAGGCTCTGATGACTTTGCCATGTGTTGCGCATGCCAGCACACTAACCACCTTTACTTACGTTGTTTGCGCTTCTGGGATATGGATGGAGGAAGAGGAGAGGAGGTCATCTGATGACTGGGTGGAACCTCCCACATCGAACTTGGCCTCGCTCGGAGCCGTTTGGTGCCGGAAAGACGACGAACACATTCGGTTATATGCATTTGTCAACTTGGCGAATAACCAACCCTGGTGGCTTTTGTGTTTTTAGATTCTTTGTCACTCCCCCTCCCTTAACCTCCTCTATCACGACTTCATTCTCGATACTTGGGAACTGTTTTTTACGACTGTATAATTTGAATTCCCCTTTGGCACTATGGCTGTGTGTCTCACCTCTCGTTAGCATGTTGCGTGATGATGCCTAATGTCACAGAATTTTGGACGTTGCCTTGGTAGTAGCCCATAGTTTGCTCGTAACTTTAGGTGATTTAGGCACATGCGCTTGAAAGCCTATTTAAGGACACCATTGGTTACTCGCAGTTTCTTGCTCATGCTCTTGCATCGTAACGTATCTACAGTGTTCTCTTCTCCTTTTTAGCCTGTTGGAATTCTTCTGCTTCTCGGACGAATCATTACACACTACGTCTTCCATGGTTCAACTTGATTCATGGGTTAATTTTTGGGTACTTTAGCTGTGTTTGTCTTAATACATTGTTTCTTCATGTCAGGATAAAACTCCCGATCTTCTCAAAAACGAGACCCGCGGTATTGCAGTTCATGAGCGTCTTAATAAGTTCCTCGCTGAATTCTCGAAACTTCAGAATGACGCTTTTTCTGCCCAGAAGTATGCCAACCGCTATTCGTTCTAATGCCTCAGGAAACTCTGCGAAAAATATGTTGTAGATACTGCGAAGTGTTTTGGTGTTGATAACAGTTATGCCTCGGCGGTCAACGAGTTTTTGCGGATCACTCAACTCTTGATTGATACTGAAGGTTTGATATCCGGATCCTTCGAGATTCAAACTACTGGTGACTTCAAAAATGGCATTGAGGATGAGAAGCGGAGATTGAAGCGCTGGAAGCATGATCGGTAAAAGATTTTCCCTTGGGTTTTACATCATTTTCATAGGGAAAGGCTGACCTCCGAAATGAAAATGCAGACACGAATAATTGAGGATGAGATGAAGCGATATAGAGATAAATATCGCGAGATGGTTAAAGCAACGGAAGATTTCTTACGTATCGATGCCGATAAGTCCCACTCTCAGGCTGATGTGGAAAAGGTAACTCGAACATCCTTTAGTCCACTAATTTTTGGTTTCTACATCGTACCTGAGTGTTGAGAGCCGCAGCCAGTTATTCATTATTTGCTCGCGTCTCTGACAACTAGTGCTCACTTTCCCTGTCATTCGTTTTCTTTCTGTAACGCTTTCTTAGTTTATTCCTGGGTATCTATTTTCTCACCTTTAATCGGCTTCCGGCACTCATCCGAACACCGAATCAGAGTGTGTTATCTCTTTGGAATCTTTCGTACGGCATATTAAGGGAGCAGGTATTGTAGGCAGTTCTGAACAGTTAGCCGTTGTTCTTGACCTAAATTTACACTACCTGTGCTCCCTCTGGTTACCAATTGCCACCGCTTTTGATGTAATAGAGCCAACAGGCCGTTTTAGCTACCATGACTGTTTTTCAAACGTAAACTTCATCCTGCATTGGCTGTCGCGCAGATTATCAAGGTTCACCTTATCTGCTGCATACAGCAAGGCGGATAAGCGAAAACATGCTACTGCTGGCACCTCCCTTTTTTCTTTTCCACCTGTTTCTCTTACTCTCATCCCGACCTCCATTACTAACCTACCTTCTATAATTCTAACTTGAATTCCCAGCTGGATTGACAGCAACCGAAGTGTAACTGGAGTAGAACCATCTGCAGCTACCATCCCACAGCACCTTTCGGACGCCTATCGGCAACAGTCCATTATAAGGCCACACTGTCCCGTTTCCATGGCGACGTTCAACGTTCCCACTTTATGACAAATAGGTCAACAAGCTGCACTCGTACGCATATTGAACACACTGGGTATTGATGTGTGTTGTGTGTCCAAAACTAGGATCAATGACCCTAATGGGGTTGTTGAATTAGATGCACTCGGCTTATCCTCTCGTTATTGATTGTACGCATCCGGAGACGCCGATGCAGCACTCACGGGTCAAGCTAGTATAGGTATCATTCTAAGCTCCAAGACTGAGCCCTCGTTGGTTGATTGGATTCCGGTGAACAGCCGTTTATGTGCAACCCGTGTGACAACATCAGCTAAGGTTAATTCACGAAGTAGTACCAAACGCTGTTTGTTTGTGATTTCCGCTTATGCTCCCACCGCCTGCAGTTTTAATGCTGTCAAAGGCACATTCTATCACGAACTGGACGCGCTACTACGCAGTGCTACTAGTCCAGATATTATAGTACTTGCAGGGGATATGAGCGCACAAGTAGGGCGTCTGAGCTCTTCAGAAGCTCAGCTGGGTGGTAATTGTGTACTTAACTCCGAACGGACTGACAACGGTGAGCGCCTGCTGCAACTGTGTGCGGAGCACCAGTTGTTTCTTAGTAGCACTGCTTTTAGACACAGTGGGCGCCGAAGTGCCACTTGGCGTCCTCCTGTAGCTGGCCAGCGATAGACCCAAATTGACCACATAGCCATAAGTTACAGGTGGCGTGGTTCCATACTGGATTGGCGCTCGTACTGGAGTACCTGCGTCGACTCTGATCATGCCTTGATACGCTGTCGTTTCTCCATGAACTTTACCGAAAGGCGCACAAAGCGTTTCCTCCAATTGCCAACTGCGAAATTGTCTCAGCCCTCGGTCAGGCAAGCCAGGCACTGCATACCGAGCTTTCGCTGTCTTGTTCTAATGACACTGAGCTTCAGTGGAATAAGATCTCGGCCGCCATGCAGGATGCCAGAGCATCTGCTTGTGGCACTATCAGCCGGCACCGCACCAGTCACTGGATATCCAAGAGGTCGATGAACCAGTTGGAATCTAGAAAAAACCTCCCGGCTGGTTCCGTGCACAGTGTGACCAGACGGGCTAGTAGGTGCGAACTAAAGCGGAGCCTACGTGCAGACAAGGAAGCCTGGTGGACCAGTGGGGCTTACGAAATGGAAGAGGCAGGAGCAGTAGGCAATTACCATAAGCTCTTCCAGCTGATCCGCACCACTGGTCCCAGGAAACCAGGCGTCAGTGAGACAATCTGAGACTGCGCGGGTGCACTGATACACAACAAGGAGCGCCGTATGGTTCGTTGTGCAGAACACTTTCAACATCGGTTCAGCTGCCCCCCCTGCTCCCGGACCTCTTTCTACTCAGGTGATGCAAAATAAGACATTGCCGGTTGGTTTTTAGGCCCCATCGGAGGCTGAGGTCTGAAACGCGATCACAACCCTCAATCGTTTTCGTGCCGCTGGCCTGGATTCCCTCCCACCGCGATATTTAAGGGTGGATTTGAGGTCCTCTGCAAAGCTCTAACCTCCCTATTCCAACCTATCTGGAATGTAGTGTCTCGGCTAATTGGTGCGAATCGATTATAGTGGCAATATACGAGGACAGTCGTTTAGGCTATTCCAATCTCAGGGGCTTTAGCGTAACGCCAGTTGTAACAAAGTTACTGGCCTTGATTCTCATTCGCCGCTTCACTGTAGAACGGGAAGCTCGTATTAGGGAAGAGCAGGCCGGTATCCGCCCAGGTCGGGGCTGTATAAACCATATATTCATTTTGCGACCGGTGCTAGAGCAGCGCCACGCATACCGCAGACCGAAAATAGCTGTGTTCCTCGATTTCAAGAGTGTGTTCCATTCAGTCGATCGATTCTGTTCGACATAGTTGCACGGAAAGGTATTCCCATGAAATAGGTGAACATCTTCGTGATCCATACTCGAACACTACAGACCGCGTCAGGGTCTACGGTAGCCTATCGGATTGCATTCCGACTGCAGTTGGCGTTCGTCAGCGTTGCCCGATTTCCCCATTTTCGTTCAATTTCGTCGTGGATTCTATCATGGAGGGTTCCCTTGCGGAATCTCACGATGTAGGCATTGAAGTGCTGCCTGGTGAAAGATTAGTTGATCTTGATTATGCGGACGATATCATCTTGCTTTTTGACGATGCTGCGACGGCACAATCAACCCTGAATAGCCTGTCTAAAGTGGTCCCATTATTTGGTATGCACTTCACACCTTCAAAGTGTAAAGTGTTTCTGCAGGACCACCAGCCACTTTATGACCCATTGACCCTTGCTAACGAGGAACTCGAGGTGCTTGATCAATTCACTTATCTTGGCAGCTGAATCAGCAACGATGGCCGCATAGAAACTTACGTCAGCTCACGCATTGCAAAGGTCAGAGTTGCCTTCTTGAACCAGCGGTATCTTTGGTGACAGAAGGGAATTTCGCTCCTTCTGAAACGCCTTGTATACAAGGCCACAGTGAGGGCCGTACTGCTCTATGGTAATGAGACTTGACCCAATCGGTCTGAAGATCTGAGGCGCATTCAAGTCTTTGATCATCGTTGTCTGCGAAGCATTACTAGTGTCGGATGGCACCAACGTGTCCGCAACGATGATGTGCGTAATCGAGCACTAGGTAGTGATAATCTTGCTAGCTCGCTAGAACAACAGATAGCACAGAATAAGTTGCGTTGGCTCGGGCACCTGCTACGTATGCCTGGTCACCTCTTACCTAGGAGGGCCCTGTTCAGTCTACCAGGTGAAGGGTGGCGCACAGCTCTAGGTGGACAGAAGTTGACTTGAAAGCGGGAAATGAAGTCACTGACGACCAAACTGGGTGCCGTTGGTCCATCTCGTCTTCCGGGTTGGAGTCCACGTGATTTGCCTTGTGCTTGGCTCGAGACTTTACAGGACATGGCTCGCAACCGACACCAGTGGTGCGTCTGCTGCCGTCTTCTAATCGGATTACCTGTTTAAAGTGTGTTTGGTGCGGAGTTACCTACGAGATAATGTCTAATCATGACGCGGGCAGTGAAAGCCGCAAGGAAGCTGTCTTGCCGATGCCGCCTTATGTTTACACGATAGCCAGCTGTTTGTGACGGTATATTGTCTACACAAGGTGTAGGCGCCTTGACCGTGAATGTTTGCTTAGGGCATTAAGGTTTTCAGGTAAGTCCCCCTTCTCTCCCTCTTATTATTATTTATTTCATAGGTCATCAAGGTTGGATGGCAGCGAAGCATCAGTTCAAGATGCTGACGTACTGTTGTTGTGGTTTTTGTTTGTTGTTTCGTGTTGTAGCTACATCTTTTATATGGTGATGATTTCTGTGTTTATGGATCTACGTCTAACGCCTATTTCATCTTGACCCATTTTGTTCGATTAATGGTGCCGTCCTTCGACCGCTATCCTGGTTCCATCGATTTTTCTTCAGCGCGCGGGCATTGATGCAGATTGAGCAGCTATCCGGTCTGGCGTGTACATTGCAGTCCGTCGGTATTGATATCTGCTACCTTTCCGAAACCCGATTTCAGGATCCCACACGGTGCCTAAGCTTATACCCTCCCTTACCACCGAGCCACATTTCACCTGTCTTTCTTGTGACCCAGAAGCGTCCTCAGCGGGGCAGGCAAGACCAATGCCGCATTGATGGGTTGCTTCCCGAGTTACAGCCGACCATGTGTAGTTCGGTTTCAGGGTTCAAATAGAATTAACAGGCTTTGCATCGTATGTGTGATCTCAGCTTTCGCTCCAACTGATCGCAGTTGTGATATTGTCAAGGATGACTTTCACCTAGAACTTTTTCAGGTTTTGCACAGTGTGAACAGTTTGGATGCCGTTGTCCTTGCTGGGAATTTCGATGCACTGGTTGGCCACCTGTTACAATACAAACCTCATGTTGATGGCCACCCCATGCTTGACAATGGCCGCTCAGATAATGGAGAGATAATTTTCACACTGTGCGAAGGCACTCATCTGTTTCTCTCGAGCATCAACTTCAGAAGAAGCTTTCTGCAAATGGAGCAGATGGATGTTAGCTGTTATTCAGCCGAAAACACTGGACTCTACGACCTGGGTATACGACCATGTCACATCTGCTTTATCTGTTGCTGTCCCAGTGATCAAGTCTGCCAAGATTTACTGCGATGCGAGATTTCGTGTCGCAATCCATTCAAACGACGAGTGCTTTAAATTGGCCCATCCAATCAACCGTCCGTCAACTTGGTGTCATTTTTTGTCATCACAAGCGTGATCTCAAATTGATCACATTGTAATCAGTTTCAGATGGCGAAGAAGCGTACGGGATTGCAGCTCGTTTTAGTTTTTTCCCTTAATTCAGGTCAAGCGAAAATCCGTATGTGTTTTTAGGAATCCCAAACACGAAGTACTGCAAGGTTGATACAAGCAGATAAGCTGCTTATCTTGTCCAGATGAGCTATCAGTCTTCACTGGCAGTCGCACTTAGTTGCGATCTACCAAAAGACATTGAACAACTCTATACTTCTGTACAGTAGGCATTGATCACTTCCAGGTAATAATGCTGCGGTCCAGCTCGATGCTTGTTAAAAGCTTGAATCTCTGCAGCTGTTCGATCACCGCAAAGATATCCCGACAGAATCGAATTATTACGAGCGCCGCCTCTCTGACAACCAGCAGCTCAAGCAACGCCTGTGCAAAGATCGCGAGGCACAGTGGTCTGAGCGTGCTTTAAAGATGGAGACCGCTGCTCTCTCTTTTAATACTCACAAGCTTTTCCAGCTCATTCGGTCCACTGGTCTCAGGAAGTCTGGTGTTAGTGAGGTCATTTGCGGAGCGGACGGGTTTTAGATCACCAACCAACAGAGGCGTTTGTACCGCTGGGCCAAGCCCTTTCATTCGCATTTCAACTGGTCCGGGCCGTCCATCCCTGCACACAATACATTTAGTTACCTACCCTGGCTTGTCCCACTGGATTCACAGCGAAGCGGAAGCCTGCTTTGAAATTCAACATTTGAAATTATTCGACGCGGACCTCCTTCTGAGTATGGTTGAGGCCTTTACGTCGGCTGCCGTCTCGTTGAACATCATTTTTTTGCGCTGTCTACCATGGATGTGTTAGTTTTGTAGGGATATTTTAACAAGTTCTTTGGTCAAACTTCCAGGTTAACTGCGAACGTCTTGATTTATCCACATTTTGAATGCAAAGGCTGAGATACTGCGAACGATTTACGATTTGTTACTTTTGGCTACGTTTTTTAGACCATTTGAAACCGATTATTCAAAGATGTTTTAATAAAACTGTCATGTCGACTGGACACAAGTCTCAAGGATTTTGTTCATCATTGTTCGATTTTTGGCCGGGAGTGCGAACCCGTTTTCTCGAGTGACAACAGTGTACCGCTTTTGTTTATTCATTTATAAAAGTCTTCATTTTCGATGCTATTTTTAGCCCATTTGCAGTTGATAATATCAAATGATGAAGGTAATACACTCATCCGAATGCATTAAGCTTGAGCTGTTCAAGTAGGGTTCGGTAATAATCATCAATCAACTGACCTTGTTGCCCTCTAAAATCTGGCATGGGTACAGATGCCTTCCGCTTCTTGCTGATGCTTCACAGGCCTACAACGGTGGCTAATGTGTCCACATTGGTAATAATGATTTGGACTAGTTGGGACCTAGTGTCAAATCTGAACACCACAATCAGACATTCAAGGTCCAGGTACTTGTACCGTACCGACACCACACGGTTACGGGTGGCTAGCTACGGTGAGGAGATCAGATGGCGTCGGCCAGTCGAATTTCTTGTTGTTTAGTGTCTCATCTTGTAGTCAAGCTTACCCCATTTATAACTCAATCGTACTCATTTTGAACAGATTGTTCGATTAGCAGATGGCGACATGCACTCCATTTTACCAGCTGCGACTCGAGCTTGTGACCAACCTCAGGATGAGCACACAGACCTCGGCTTGGGAATTGAGGCTGATCAGCGGCATTCAATATGGTAACCAAGGATTTTTATTCTAGTCTGACATTATCTGGCATCAGGTACACACTGCGTAACACTTCTACGAAGGCGTTGACTTGGTGTGCGAAACAAGCACTGAAATCATTGTCGCTTAGTGGAGTTCATTTGTTGGTCCAATGCGGTTCGGTGACCGACTTGTTCAGATTTCTGGCTGTAATCAACAGGTCGCCCGATCCTACGGATGCACGGACGTCGCATTGCTCCCAACATGGGCACCGCGGCTGATGGTTGCGGAGCAACGATCTGCCTGTACGACGTGCCCGTTTACTACTCACGGCACAACTATTCGGATGAATGGCCTCCAATATTCTCCAGTGCCCTCTTCGTGGTACATTGAAGGTGATTCCAAGTGAAGTTAGTCCATTCCCCTCATGCGTTGATGCTAGCTGATGTTCATACCAGTGCAGAAATCGCTGTTTCCCGGTGTGTGAGTGCAGCTGGCGAGTGAGCACTTGGTATTTAGTGCATTCGTTTGGAGGAAAAGAGTAAACACCTTTTGGGGTGCCAGAGGGCGTTTCCAGTTGACTTTTAATTTTGAACACACCGTCCTTACGTTTTTGGAGATATTATGCACTAAAGCGTTATTTTACTAAATATTTCCCCTTTGCTATGTTGTGAGCGGTTTTCCTACCTGGTTGAGCTTGGAAGCAGCGTTCTGCGACTCCAAAGAAAGTGATAGGTCGTGGTGAATTTGCTCGTGAACTTTTCGGTTATTTCTCGCCAGCTGGTCAATTCGAAAACCACATGGTCTGCTATCGGACATAGCGTAATGAGTTGCAGTTTATTTGTTAACGCTGTCCGGCTTGGGAGCAGGTGTATCAAATCTCATGGGGATCTGCAACGGCTTGGTCACGTGCTACCCTAGGAAGTTCGGGATGATTGGTCTCTGTTTCTTAACTGTATTATTCCATGCGCCTGCCACAAAAATCAATCGCGGGTGTGATTTGATGAGCACACACTTCATTGTTAAAGGGTTACCTGATCAGACGCGGTTGGTGGCAAATCGGTATACATCCTCATCATTAAGACACGTCAGCTAAAGGTGAGAAACACCTCATTTGTGCCACAATATCAAAATATAGGATATTTAAAAAGGCGGGATACTAATAAACAAAGGGCGCTAAATGAAAACCTAAAAACAAATAATTTGATTTATATCTCGCGGATAAGGTTGTGGTTGGAGAGGGAAGTAGCATTTGTGATCCAATACTGCTCGTGCCCAACGTCAGTTACATTGACCTCTGTATTCACCGCTTATTGCAACTAATTTTGAGCTATTGTCCATGTCTCTCTAGCGTCTTATGATGTTGTCGTGGTTGCGCTTTTTAAATGAGATGAATCAGAGTGCTGAGTTCAGAATTGTTTTCGGTACATCTCATCAATCTCATATATACATAATGCGGGTTGTAATGGGGTTTGAGGAATTGGCCGGGCTAACCGCCAATCATGGGACGCAGCAGATTCGCCCGAGCGAGGAAACCCCACGCGATTGGACTCTAGATCACCACGATTGGTCGGTAACCAATCACGTGAAAGAATGCCAACACTGCGTCGCGCGGAGCACACCAAGAGCCGGAAGAACAGATTGCTCAACCAAACGATGGGTGAGCACTGACGACCCATAATTGCTATCAACGGCAGACCGACCGCGTACCAGCTGAGGATCAACGGTCCGAATAAATACGATCAATCAGGTACCAGCCATGGAACACGGAGGACATCGAACCACAGTCCAATGATAGAGCGGATGATGGCTGCCTATTGAAATAATGCAAAAGAAAATAGTGTATTTTTCTATAAATATGCGAGGCCTCTGCAATAACCGACTCTGCTGACCGCCACCAAGACTTCGATTTTTGGTTGTTGTCCCGTACTACAACACGGGTTACGTAGTAAATGTGCAGAGTTAGGCTTATTATTATTAGGATGTTAAATTTAGTGACCGAATCGGTAAATCAAAATGTCACTGAAGGCGGTAGATTAAGTGCAAGGGAAATGTGCTTAAGTACGTTATTTTTACTTTCAATAAAAAGTTAATTGTGGTAAAAAGTAAATCGAAGACCATACGCCGAAAGATGTGGACCACGGTAAAAGTCACTAGCTTACGAATTGCTTTTGTACTCACAGCTCAGGCTTGCGGTAGCGGATGTAGATAACTTCAACAATGGACAGGAAATGTTAACGGAATCCGCGCGGGAATATCTCAGGAATGGAATAGATAACTGAAATCCTTTTCAGCTCCTGTGTGAGCGTGATCAAGGAGGGGCTACATGATGCAGCTATTAAAAGACCTCGCTTCAGCACTATAAAACCACTTCGTGATGTGCATGCGAATTCTGAGATAGGGGCCTCGTAGTACGATCCACGTATCTTGCACAAACATTGCTCGAATCAACGTAGGTAGTCTGTCCTTCAAAAGTTTTGTGAGTAAATGCTTGCTATGTTATACTATGCGCAGACGAACCGCGATATAAGCCTCAACAGCCACTGACTGTATTGTCCGAGTTTCTCTTAGACATCAGAGAACTGTTTCCTTCCTTATCTCAGCGGATTACAGGTGAACGCTAACCACTGCACTGCTACGTTACTTGTATCCATCTCTTTATACATGATACCTTAGAATATTCTTGGTATGCATCATCAAGTAGTCGGATAACAAATTATCCATTACAAAACTCGAGAAAGTTTGTCTATGATCATCTACCTCATCTTCTCTCCAAATCGTCCGCCGCACAGGCCTCTACTTTTGCCCACCTGCGAACCAAGGACTTCGAACGTGCCAGGCGTGACTACGAGGCCGCACTGAATCAATTCAACTTGTACCGACGTGATCACTTTAATCGTACTCTACCACTCTGGGCCCAGGTTGGCTATCAGCTTGGCAGGGATCGATACTCACGCACGCAAACCCTTTTGAATACACTTTCTGAGCGCATTCGTGTTGCGATGGAGCGAATGAACACGGTTTGCAGTGAACTACGAAAGATTTGCGACACATTCGAATTAGATCGGGTAAGCCAGGGACTGCCTCGTTGCAGCTACTCCCCTCGTCACAATTTTGCTTTTACTTGATGCAGTTGAACATCTTGTCTCCCAAATGTACATTGCCGGCATTTCTGTCGACGTATTTGATTCAGTATCATGCCTCTGTCCAATGTTCGAGTTGCTTGATCAGATACACTGTCGCCATTACTCCCACAATCACTGTTAATCTCTCTCCTGGCACATATCCACTCCAAGCTTTGAGCAGATGTCCTTATTATGCGTTTCGCTCTCATTTGACGATCGTAGAAAGGGCTCCACTGGGTGACCATTATTGTGTTCTTGGTGTCTGTTAATCAACCAAGCTGCTAACAGCACGGTACATGAGAAGATACACGAAACTCCGTGGAAGATGTATTTCCGTTTAGGCTAACACGGAGAAATTATAGTTCCATAAATGGACAAGATCACCATAGTTCAGGGTGAGAGCGGTGATGAGCTAACGTGACGGAAACAGAATGTTGAATCTATCGAACATCATTACCAACAGAGTAGGTTGATTTGTTTGGAGGTTGCCTCCCTGACAACTGTAATTTTTCAACAAACTGACGGATGGGGTGCAATTGATCTTCTTATCTTACACTTCACCACACTGTATTGACATCGATGAAATTGCCTTTGTTTGCTCTAATGAGTTGGTTATTTCCACGTATCGCTTGTTGTTACACTACCGTTGTCAACTTTTTTATGGAGTCGCTCAACACACCTATGCATATGTTCTTCCACGGAACTTTTCATTGACACCAGGTTAGTTCTAGGCTAATCAATGTTGGACCACTCTTTTGATAGGTGCGATCCCGAACGTCTACCTATCTTAGTTTATGAGAATAGTATCGAACGAAACAACAGCACCCAAACTACTTTTGTCTTCGGATCGGCAGCTCATCCACAGTGCATGATCATGTTTTCATGTCTGCCTGACATTTTCTCCCCTCAACTTCTGTCGCTACATTTTTTCAGGAAATCACAATATATAATTATGTTCGAAGTGACAAGTCGAATGAAACCTTGAGACCAGAGTTGTTGCGCCGATCGAGTTGCCTCCACTCTTTTATGGGGGACTCTATACTGTTGTCTTGTGCCCCATGCTGAGACTGATGTTGCATTCTTGATGCTCCCTCACCTCAGTTGGGCTAAACCAACCTACACTTAAACTAAATCTTTTTAAGCTGGACAAATTTCACTCCACTTTGTTTTGTTTGTTCTGCCTACCTGAATAATATTCTATCAACTGGCCACGTTGCTTACGCTGATTGCGCTTATCTTCGGTAACTATGTTGCGTTTGTAGCATTTTTAAGTAACTTGTGGACATTTTTTCCTTATCGCAGGTTTGTTGCTAACCAACATACTGCATATGCTAATTTAGCGAAAAGTTATGCCACTGTATCTGTATGCATTATTGGATTTGTTTTATTTCGTCTTGTCATTTCAGGTGATTGGCTGTTGCTTGATTTCCCCGGTGCGGCTGCGCTTGATGTGCATGTTGACAAGGTAACTACCTGTCTAATAGTCACTACCTCGTCCATACTGGCTCCAGGAGACAGTTGGTCGTTGCTGGAGGGGACGGCGTGCACGGTCCTTGTGGCCGTGCTAGGCTCGAAGAGTGGTTCCATGCACTCAGTGTGGAGCGGACTACGGTCCAGCCACCGTTTTGTGGGCGCTTGATTCCCCAACTACAGCGTGCTTGTGTTTGACTGTGAGGGAGTGTGGGCCGGCTGGGTTGATGAAACGTGGCTCCTATCCGCATACCTCCCGGTCTTATTCCTTCGGGTTTACACTGGATATGGGGTGTGTGGTTGGAGCTGTGGGTGGTGCGGCGCAAGCTACTTGTGGTCCCTCTGTAGGTGCAGGCGTCCTGTGGCTAGCCACAGTGACAGGCAAATCTGAAACCGAATGCCACCAACCATAGTGTTGTCTTAGGTGTTCGGCTTGCAATACCTACGTTCCGGGTTTGATTTCATGCTCCTGCAAAGGTTTGAGTATCTCATGCAGTATTCCATCATTCATCATAGAACTGCTTGCTGTTGTGCGACAGCGATGCCGCTGTACATGATGCTGTTTTGTCGCTGATACACGTGTGACCATTTTATGAGCGCAAACAACTTCACATCGTTAGCTTTGCATATTGCGCTCATCACCGACTCTTGTGGACATCGGGCACAGGTGTTGAATTCTGCATGCGATTTCCCTCCGAATGCTAACTTCGGCTTACGGAGAATCAAGCTTTCGTGTGTGTGTGCGTGTACTTCTAGCCTATTAGCAGCCCAGAAGTTGAGCCAAAAAGATGCAAATAGTTCCATCATGATTAAAGGTACGATTCGTTTCATAGTCACCTATTAAATCCATTTTGGACCATCCACAGCCAGCGATACGAAGCTTTGGTAGCCTTATCTCGACGCGAGTAAACATTCACCTGATGCGATAGTTTTCATACCTCCTTGGCTTATTAAAATACACTTGGTGGCTCTCCCCCAATGCCTTAAAATCACTTTTACCTCATTAATAGATAACTAAAGGATAAACGTGCACAGTTTCAACATCCTGTAGGAAATTTGGTAGAGATAAATGTCTTACACGCCCTAAGCTACTACCATAGATGACCATAGTTTGTAGTTGCGGACTGAACTTAGTCTCAAGCCTATCATCAGATTCACCTGCGATTGACAGTGATAGGTGTATCTGATAGTACGGTTGAAATGTATACGTCAGTTGTCCTACTCCCCTATGATTACATCTGATCAGACTCGCTAATCATCGTGACGTTGTATGTACGTTCCCGGGCTGGACCTGCTCCCCTTATTTTATTTGTCAAACTACTGAACCGAATTCAGCTGGTGAGGTGCTCCAAGCATACCTCAATTCATCACACCAGACCTGGGTCTTCTCCACAAATATCTTCCGTCGAACTGATCAGTCGGAGATAACTAACCGCCCACAAATTCATGAGCAAACTTTCTTGACTCTTGCATTCCTCCTTCCCCATCGTTACCACACTTCAGCTACTAAACCTAATCAGCCCTATGCCATCTCTACTCTCTAAGCTGTGGTGCCCGTCCACCAGAATCACTTATAACCGGCCCAGAATTTTCTTTTACATGTCCTATTTCACAACGTTCACACGCCATCAGATATAAAGCAGTTAGTACCCCTCAACAATTTGAAAAGCACAGTGAGAAGACGAAGCTCGGTGGTGGCACGCATTTCATATCGCCTCTTCAGCACCGAAAACGATAACTAGAAATGAAATGAAATTATCAATTGATGCAAGTGTGCCGGGGCCGACGGTATCCCTCCTGAAGTATTGAAACACGGCGGACCCGAGTTGGTGACTGCGCTGCACCACTTGGTGCAACGCGTATGGATTGAGGAGTAGGTGCCTCCTGAGTTGAAGGATGCCCTTGTGCTACACCTGTACAAGGGCGAAGGGAGCGAGCAATGTTGCACGAATTATCGTGGCGTCAACTTACTGAGTTGTATGGGCAATGTGATTGTCCGAATCCTGATAAACGTTTCGTCAGGCAGGTTGTGGAACCGCACGTGGTGAAAGAGCAATGCGGATTCTGTTCGGGTCGCAGCACTATAGATATGGTGTTTGCAGCTCGTCACTTGCAGGAGAAGTGCAGAGAACGACACCAGCTGTTGTACTCGCTGTTTGTTGATTTCATCAAAACATTTGCTACAATGAACAGCGTGGCATTCTGGCTGGTGTTGGATAAGTTTGCTCGTCCCAGTAAATTGGTAAGTTTAATTGAATGTCTGCATAGTGGTAATCGAGCGAGGGTGCAGCTGAGTGAACAGGCTTCGGATAACTTTGCAGTTGTCTCTGATGTGATGCTAGGCTGTGTCTTAGCACCTGCCCTGTTTAATATTTATCTTCACGTCATCATGTCGTGTGCGTCTGATGCGGCTTGTGTTTACGGTGTTCGTGCGGAGCACCGTATTGATGGTGGGTTGCTGAACATCCGTCATTTCGGGGCGAGAACCCTAGTCTGTGAGACAACTATCCGTATGTTGCTGTACGCTGACAACTGTGCGTTGTTTGCACACAGCGCGGATGAGTTGCAGCTCATGACTAGTGCTCTGGCTTTGACAGCGGCTACATTCGGGCTCACCATCAATACAAACAAAACTGTCTACCTCAGCCTTCACCGGAGGTGCAACCTGCAGTAGTGTTGCAAATCAGCATTGGTGCTGAAGTATTAGAAACCACCTCCCGCTTCTGCTACCTTGGGAGTGTGATGTCGACTGACTAGCAGCTACACAGTGAGCTGCGTACCCGCATCTCGAACGCAGCGGCGGCATTCGGAAATCTTGAGTACCGAGTGTGGAACAACCATCAGCTTATCATTGGCATGAAGTTGATGGTGTACAACTCCATGGTGCTGTCCGTTCTTCTTTACGGCAGTGAAAGGTGGACGATGTATCGGCGGGATGTGCGATATCTCGAGTGGTTCCATGAACAATGTTTGCGACGGATTCTGCGCATCACTTGTTGCGACAGAGTTGCGGACACGGGATTGTTGAGTCGAAATGGAGTGTACGCAATGCACTGCGTACTTTTGCTGACACACCTGAGGTGGCTCGGTCGTGTGAGCCGTATTGATTTAACGCGGATACCGAAACAAGTACTATCTGGTCAGCTGAGTATTGGGAAGTGGCATGCGGGAAAACCGAAGCTTCCTTACCAGGACATGATCGAAGTGGGCGTCTCACGTTCTAATCTTGATTACTGGTCATGGGAATCGAAGGCGGTTGATCGGCGTGCATGGCGCGATCTGATCACGAAGACAGTTGCCGAGGTGCATCAGAAAGACCTCATGCATGCAGAGTAGAAGTGGCAAGTTCGGAAGCGGCAAGCACCGATGGGTTGTACTCCATCGAAATGGAGCGCATGGTGCTGTAGCACATGCGGTCGCGAATGCCTTAGTCAGGCAGGCTTAGTATGCCATGAGCGAGGCCACTAGGGACC